TTCACTGACTCGCAGGCCGTCTCAGTGATCAGCCGTAAAACAGTGATTCTGTCCTAATTCCCTTGCATATTAATGGTGGAGTTCCCTTTAAAATCTTAAATGATTCCCTTTGAGCTAAATTATTAAATTATTGACCTGTTTACCCTACAAGAGAAAGATATAATGGGTTCACTTGCTGCTTAAACCGAGGCGCTAAAGTGATCGCGTCTGCCGCATTACTGAGCACCAAAAACAAAACTGTATTTATTGTTTGAATTTCGTTATAAATTTTGAATAATTTTAAAGCTGATACTTTGTTTATTAAAAAGTAACAAAGCACAAAGCTTGTTTGCGATTACTGGACGGCATATGAAGTTCACGCATTAACAGAACACAGGACAGACTAATATCTTGATAAGAAGCCATATTATTAATGATTATAAACGAGAATTGTTAACGATATTGTCAATATCCACAAAGCTGACAGCTTTACCTGTTGTAGTTTGTTCAAGTTGTGCATGAAATGGGCGTTGCTTTTCTGCACTTTCACTTCGCACGTTTCTGTCATTTCGATCTCTCTCGCGCTGCACAACTGAGCTGCGTTTATCAGGTGTGCGTCAGTGCTGCTGTGCGGCAGAGATGAGGACTGTTTGAAAAATCAAACAGAAATCTTCCCACTCAGTGATGTAGACATGCGGGGGCGTGTTTAAGCGAGGCGTTTTAGGAGGGCGTGGACGAGTCTTAACTTTTATAAAGAATATCTCTTTGGGTTTGAGACTTTAGTCTTTGCAACTTTAGGGATCTTATCTATTCTCGAACAGCTTGTAACACTCCAAAGAGAAAAGAAAACTTGAAATCGCATCATATGAGCCCTTTAATAGTGCCTCAGCAGTGCCACAGGCTGATGGCTTCCATGCCACACCTCACTGATGCTGTCATTTGTGCTTAAGGAGCACCGACCAAGTATTGAGTGCATAAATGAACATACTTCAAAGAACTTGAGCTTTTCTGTTTTGCAAATCCTTTTTTTTTTATTGATCTTAGGAACTATTCTAATATTTTGAAATACTGGATTTTTGACTTTCATGAGCTGTAAGCTCTAATCATCAGAATTAAAACAAAAAAACGTTTGAGATGTTTTACTTTACATGTAATGAATCTAGAATATATGAAAGTTTCACTTTTTTAAATAAGTTACAAAAAAATTAACTTTTTCACGATAGTCTATTTTTTTGAGATGCACCTGCGTGTGTATATACAGTATATATATATATACAGTGGGTACGGAAAGTAT